ATGAGAGTGTGACGCTAACAGAACAAGGAAGGGAATACTAATTTTATAAGGATTTGATGAATTTTTAAATAGGTTTTTTATTGAATACAAAGTTTTCCATTTTCAGGTTTTAAGGCAGCTGAGCACGCTTATTGTTTATTTCGTTTAATTGGGTTACGATCAATTCCATTTTTTTGTTTATTTTTCAATAATATCTTTTTATAACATCAAATGAGTCGAAAAGATATCATCCTGGACGATCTGCCTTAATTTGTATGTAGTTAAGCTGTATATGTACACACATAAATTGAGAGCGTTGCAAGGAGATGCCCCATAATTAATTCTCTAAGTTTAAGTTTTCTCGCTTGTCCCTTTCACTTTGTTTATCCAACGTAACGTCCCCTTATACGCTGTGTCAGTTCAACTGGCAGGCGCTGGAAATCGCTCAGATTTCACACCCCACCACCGCCCAATTGCTGTGGCATGGAAACAGTTATAGCTGCACAATGGGCAAGATTCATGTCGCTATCTCGGCAGCGACGTCAACTGTCTGACGTCGTTTATTTACGCCGAGGGCGGAACGTTGAAAGCAAATTGATATTATGTGGATTTGGCTTTCACTTTGGCGGTACCAATATGCGAAATCCTTTGCCAGCGCCCTGGCACCTCCACTCCAGCTAAGCCAGGGATAATGATTATATTGCGCAACGGGCAAGGCAAAAGTGCGCAGAGGGGCCCTGCTGGAATAGACAGGCGCTTTTGCATGCCACGGTGCGGCTTGCGTAGAACAATGTGAGGGGCGGGTTCCTGCTCCAGGCTGCCAGCATAGTATTTGTAATCGACAGACAATCGACGTGCGCTCAACAACATGGAATAATGGAAGTTGAAGCGATGTCGAAGCATACTCCAAGGCATTGCAACTAATTGGGTTTCGCTTAACGTTTCTACAATGGGTTAGAACAAGACCATAGCTCTACTCAGGCGTGGGGTGTTGTCGGTGTGTCTCAGTGCGTGTCTCTGGGCCACTTGATTGGAAAATCAAACTAATTAAAAGATTTCAATTAAACGTCGAGCAAATGGCAATGCAACGACTTGGCGCAGTAATTCCATTAAAATGGCAAATCAATTTCAATAAATTTCATGCGGCTTCAAAAGCGCACAAGGTAAGCACCAATTGGAGGAGAAGCGACACGCCCAGATAACCCAGCGATGCTGCCACACGCTGCTGCTGCTGCTGTTGCTGCTGCTGCTACTGTTGCTGCTGCCCCTGCTGTAAGCGTCATAAAACTGTTACATGCTGACAAATCTGTTAATTGAATCGAGAATCCAATTAAAACTTCAATTTTGCGGAAACTTTGCGCTTTTGATAAAGTTCAAGTGCATAAATGGCCAACATGCGGTCCCTGATTTCATTTCACATGTTGACGCTTCTGACAACACCCTGACAACTCTTGTTTGCACTTGTTTTTCACAGTTTTCATGACTTATTCTTTCTTACACTATGCCCAAATACTAACGAATTTATTTTGCTCACATTCGAAGCGTGTAAATTCAATAACGAATTTTTGTTGGCTTTCCTGGTTGCATTAAAGTGCACAATATACTAATTAGCGTGTCTGCCATTTACACAGTAAACGCCCCCTTTTAGACACGCCCCCCTCACCCCCCCTCCGTCACAAAACGATGACCCATGCCGCACTCCTGCCTGCGTCCTTCTGGCTGCATTTGAAATTCGTGCACGCAAAAATAGTCAAAGCAAAACCGCAAGCTGCGCATAACTAACTGCAACTGCTTTATTTGGACAAACCGCAGGCGGACGCATGCCTCCCATCCAAACACTGCTCATCGCCTATCGTCCCCGTGGGGCCCCTGCCAGCCAGGAGGCAACAAACACAGTTTCAAAGTACCCTGTAGAGACCAGCAACAAGGTCGAGTCTGATCATTTAATAGCCTTGTTTGATTTGTTCTCTATTTATAATGTTGTATCTTATAATCCAAGGGAATAGCATAATGAATTATATCTGATTCATTTTTGGAATGTCTACGCTTCAATATCGGCTTTATCTTTTAAATGAGGCGATAAGTAAAATATTTAATAAATCTAAGCAGCAATCTAATTAAATCGTATGTAAAGATTGGGCCGTGAGACGCCAGACACAGAAATATAGCTGTTATGCTTAAAAGTTTAGTTTGGTTTTTACTACACTCACCTATATTTTTCAACATATTTTATGTACAATAGGGCAAAAGTAATTATTTGTTATTGTTGTCTATGTCAAAACTGTACTACATCTATGATAAAATGTAATAAAATGTTATGTTATGTTTATCTAAATATATGTTGTTGGTAATTTATGAGTTGTTAATTATGCTATATTATTTGAAAGAATGTTGCCTAAACTGTGAGACTTAAAATTCATATTATTTTACAATTAGTCTCGGGCAAAGTTATTTTAAATACGAACTCATCCGCAGTTTTAGTTTTGAGTTTAGAATTACAAAATTTGCAACAAGTTTAAGTACTGTTCACCTGCAGTACAAATTGGTGGTAGCTCCGGCTTCGGTTACACATTTCGGCAGTTGTACAAAGCCCATTAAAATTGCATTTAGTGAAAATTTATCAGTGTGCAGAAAGGTAGCAACCGCCGGCGCACTTTGCACTCGGCTAGCTACAAGTGTGCGTGCCCGGAAACGGAAATAAAATAACTCTCTCACTCGGCAGTCAGCCAGTTGCAATATCCACCAAAACACCATCTCTCTCGCTCTCTCGCTTTCTCTCTCTCTCTCTATCTCTATTTCACTCTCGCTAACTCTTCTGCCTAGCTGTCTATGCCGCGCAGTCTGCGATTGTTTGTTTGCTAGTTTGTTTGTCTGTTTGCGTGGTCGCCAGGCGTTTATGCAAATGTTTGGCCCGAGTGCTTTAACTGAAAACACTTTAACCACATTCACCTTGGGCGGCTGCTTGTTAGTAGCCATTGAAAGCAGCAGAAGATGCCAACACCAAGGCATGACCCAATGCCTTCTTCAGCTCCAGCTCCAGCCCAGTTGCCCAAAAGGCCATAAAATGCCTGCAAGTTAGAGCTTTGGCCTCTAACTCTCCCCAATGGCTGTTGTTGCCGAAAAATGTTTCATTGCTTTGGGTGCTTCTGCCCCGGACTGGGGGAGGCTTCTGCTGTCGACTCGTTTGCCACACCTCGCTAAAAGTCAGTCGTTTTTCTCTCTCTGTTCATGGTTCCATGAGCTGCTATTATATAGTGTGTAGCATACCGTAATCTTACTTCAGTCAAAGGTTTTGCACGGCCAACCGAAACACTCTCTGTTAAGCAGACACACTCACACCCACACACTCACACACCCACCCACTCACACACACACACCAACACACACACAGCAATACATGCACACATGCGGCAAACACTTTGGCGTGTTTATTATGGAGCTGTTTTTGCCGTAGGAGCGCTGCTCTTGGGGTTGCTATGGCAAAATATGCTCGAGCTGGTAGTCGTACTTGTATTTAGTATATGAACTCGTCAGGTCAGATATTGTTTGATTAAACACATTAGCATTGCAAGCATTGTGAGCTTGTGGCGACTGAAGAAACAGCCTGGTAGAAAAAGTCTGAGATTATGTGTAGGTTAATAAATTTGATATCAGATGAAGCAAATGTCGCGACTTAACATTGTGAGTCTATGGTTTAATGAGGGCTTCAAGAGATACATTTATTTATAACCAGCTCGAGTTACCCGCAGAGGCATGATCTGATTTTCATGTTCATTGATTGATGTAATTTATGTAACGTATGAAAAAAGCAGAAGTAGGAACAAAACAAAAGATTTTTAAGCCTCATAGGCTTACGATATTTTATAAGACCTTATTTAATTACGTCGGTAAAGGTAAAAAGGTATAAAAGGTATTGTAGAGATGTGACCATTTGGGCAGGCCGTTGATCATTAAGTTAAATAGTAAAGCCAAACAGTTGTATGCATGTACATCTATTGATTTGTATGTCTCAGAGCGAGCCATGTATCATAGTTAGAACATAGCTTGAGCGAGAAGATAATTTATATAACCCCATTAAGTTTTATTCTTACACAATTTCAATATTGAATTTCGCGTAACAAGCACGTAGGTAATTGTATGCTTAAATTATAAGTATTCCCTGTTTAATGCCGTGGACAACAACTTTCAACAACTTTCCAAATAATGGGTAGGTGTTACTTAGCGCCTTTTGCAACACTGCCACTTACAGTAGCAACAACAACAACAACAGCAACAACAATGCCAAGCCAAGTCGAGCTGGTGAAAACAAAACAAACATTTTCTCTTACGAAATTTATCGTTTGCATAAATTTGCTTTATTGCCCTGCTCCAAAGCCTTGTTGTTACGTGCTGTGTTCGCGTGTGTGTGTGTCTGTGTATGTGTGCAGGAAGTGTAACTTTCGTTGGCAGACCAGGACAAGGCTAGTAAAAGCAACAACAACAAGGACAACAACAGCGAGGCGTATGGCAAATGTGGCGAGCAAAGTTTTCCATTATTCAATTTAACTAATGAAACTGAAAATTCATTTTACCACATTAACACACACACATACACACATTGGGAGTCAGAGGACGATGGATGTGGCAGGAAATGTGAACCGTTGCCGCCCGCAGCAGGACATGTGTGCGTGTTGTCTCGTAGCCCATTCTAATTTGGTTGCTCGTAGTTGTTTCCTTAGTATGACTGCGTGTGTATGTGTTGGCCCTATAAAACGCGAAAATTTATATTTAGAGGGCAGCTAGGACGACATTCATGACAGCGTCCAGACTTCACCCCTCGTGTTGGCGGCATTTTAATAATTAAGCATACTTTTAGGCGTTCCCATGTCCATTTGGCCTGAGACTGGCGTCTGTTTTTGCCGAATGTGGCGACATTTCGACCTTATAAATGATGTGACCAAAATGTGCGTTCAGTTCATTTATTTACCGCTAGAACCCCTCAAAGGCGATTGGGGGAAGCGACTTCTTCCGAGATTTACGAGCCTTGATTTCGATATACGTTAAATTTTTATTGCTCTCATCAATTGTTGCGTTGAGGAATTTGTGAACAAACATTAACAATACTTAGTGTACTTCATCATCTTCCTAATCATCATTATCATCATCTGCATTGTCTTCATCATCATCGACTGCGTCGGCTTCATCGTCGTCGTCGTCGTCGTCGTTGTTATCGTCATCGTCATCTGTTAGCTGCTCCTCAAACACATCACTGGAAGAGGGGCTATCAGTGCTGTTGTATTGCTCCTCAGCACCCTGTTCTTCAGCCGCATCTGTTATCACATCTTCCTCGCAGACATCTGTATCCGTCTCATCAAAGCACACCACTGTACTGCCGACGTGGTCGCCATTGCCCAGCTCCCTTCGTTGCAGGCACTGCGTAGGGGTTGGTCTTTGGGCGCGAACACTGTCGCCCAGCTTCAATACTAGATCTGATGGTTCCTTGACCTGTTTACGCAGCGTCGACTGATTGCTGTCCAGTCGGGGTGAGTTATCTTCGCCAGCGGCCCGCCGATTGCCAGAGCTGCCTGATGTGTCAGGTTTTTCGGAGTTGGCGTTTGCCATCAGAGTAGGCATCAGTTTTGGATCGATGGATCTCTCGTATTCCGTAAAGTCAAATAATGGCGGCAGAGGGCGTCCATTGGGTAGCTGCTGGTTGGGCTCATTGCGCAGCTCATCAAAGAACGGATGCGCGCAGGCCATCAGAGGTGACACACGGTCATTAGGTGTATATATGAGCAGTTTGGATACCAAATCGATCGCCTCTGGTGGTGTTCGGATGCGAAATACTTTGGGCCAAGGATGCGCCTTCAGTTGCGGAAGCTTCAATTGCTTGTAGTTTGGATTCATCTCTTGAAGCTGCTCCGGTGTCGGTGTGCCCATTACCTTAACAATCTCGACGATCTGATCGACGCCCGAATCGCCAGGAAAGATTAGCTGCCCCAACAGCAGCTCAGCCACCACGCATCCAGCGCTCCACATGTCGATTTTTGTTGAGTAATGTGTGGCACCAAATATGAGTTCCGGCGATCTATAATATCTGGAGCAGATGTACGATACGTTTGTCTCGCCACTAATCAGCTGCTTGGCGCTGCCAAAGTCGCACAGCTTGAACACACCTGTTTCCGCATCGAGAAGCATGTTCTGCGGTTTGATGTCACGATGACAGAAGCCATAGCTATGCATAAAGGCCAGGCTTCGGAACATCTGGTACATATAGAGTCGAACGTAATTGACGGGCAGGGTTTGCTTGGCCCGCGCGTATTGTCGCTCCACTTTATATAGAGTTTCAGGCATGTACTCCATAACAAGGTTCAAATAAACATCTTCACGTTTTTCGCCGCTGGAATAGAAAAAATACCTGAGGGTGATAATGTTTGGATGCTTCAGCTTTCGCATGATCTGCAGCTCGCGGTTTTTGAAGCGACGATCCTGTAAAACTTTCTTTATAGCAATCGGTTCGTTGCTGGGCATCAGTTTGGCATGAAACACGACGCCAAAGCTGCCATTTCCAATGACCTTGCTGTCCATATAACTGATCTCGGTCATCGTGTCTGGGCCATAGCCGGCGGTGGCCACCACCGTGGTCAGCTTGTTATTTATGTTCATATTCTTGGCAGCCATTTTTTGCTTTCCAATTGATTTATATTTATATTTATATTGTTCTTTTTTTTTTTTTTTTGGATTATATCTTAGATTTTTTACAAAAGACAAATAATATGAACCTAATTATTGGGGGGTGAGAATAACGAATCGGCCTTTAAAGACATAAGTATATTGGCTATTGTTTTCTTTATTTTTAGATAATTTCAATGTCCCTATTTTACTTTTGATTGCTTTACCGACCTTTAGGCCAATACCTACTTGGTTTTCTCATATTTTACTTTTAATATACCAAATAATTGACATTATTTAAGAGAACTCTGTATTTAAACTGTCATATAATACAAGATTTATAATTATATTTACAGGAACATCTAACTTTTCCCATGGGAAAAGGTAGATACACAACCAAAATTGAGCTTAGTTCATCTTCTCTTGCGGTTTTGGCTGTGCGCTCCTAACCAATCAGTCAGTCAGTCAGTCAATCAGTCAGGACAACTAGACAGCATCTTACATTAATGGAGAGAGAGAAATTATAGATGTAAGACTTAATTGCTAGCTTTTAATATGATGTCATATATACAAAATATGCACCCGCATGCGGTCAACGGTTAAGTTCAGAGAGTAAACCGACCATTTAATCGCAATGCTGTGACTAAGCTAAATCAGAAAAGAGTCTCCAATATTGTATTATAAGAACTTTTGATATCAGAAAAGAACAGCAGTTGGTTACGGGAACTGAAACTCGTTAGTCGAACGACAAGTGCTAACAGAACATTAACAATATGGGTTGTGGTGCAGGACTAGTGAAATTTCTGTTGATTTTGTTCAATGTTTTGTGCTTGGTAAATGAATTAAAAAAGTGCTTGCTGTGATCACTACAAATATTCAGACTGTTAATATTTAAAATATTTGTTATTATCATGTATTTTTTTAAGCATGTCAGCGACTGAAAAAACTCGGACACCTTTACAATTACCCACCTATTCCGAGTTTCTCTGTTGCATTTTAGCTTAAGCAGATTATTCAACAAATTATCAACATTTGTTTTTAGTAATTGAGTTAACTTGGCTCAGTTAATCAATTTATTTTTTGTTTTAATTGGGCACATTTATATTGTTGTTAAAAAATTTCTTTGAAAGCCCAATTAAATATATAGAAATGAGATTTTTATAATTTACTGATTTGAAGAGAAAGGCAATAATATTGGGTCTAAATTGTATTTCAACCATTTTAAAAGTTATTTTTCCGTTCTGGAACCCACAAGCCAAAGTAATTTGTCAATTTGATCTTTTGCATTCGATGTATATGAAAATATCATTTTGCAATACTCGATTGTTTGTTTTTTTAATGTTTGCCAATTTTAAAACTGCAACAGATTACTCAATATAAATGACTTATAAAGTGAATTGTAAGTAAAATGACTTACCGGCTTAATATTGGAATGTTATCGGTACCCGCATTTGAAGGAACCATGAGTCACATTCACTGCAACCTATTCTTATATCTTTAACAGGGTATACTAGTGTGGGCAATGAAACATTGCAAAGACCGGTCTTTCTGTTTCATATTTCGGAACCGGTAGGACCGGAAGGATCATAGAAATCTAGCTTAAGAGTTTCGAAGTCTACCATGCCTTTGCATTTCTACAAAGTCTTACCAACATCAGAATACGATATGATATGGTTTAGTAAAAACAGGTCGAAAAATGAATTTTTAAATGGAATAAGTAAGAGGTTCTAGTCGGGAGCTTCCGACTAGGTTCCCTGAACCCTCTTCTTCCAACATCAAATGCATATATACATATATTATATTTTAGAAGCTATATGTCAAGTTTGGTGACTCTAGCTCTTATTATTTACCAAAATTGCCTAAAAACAGGATATCGATATCGATTTTTAATCGATTGCTTGGAAACGGAGTAAGTTATCGATTATCGGAATCAAACTCGATCTGGCACTAGGAGCACCTACATCTAAAATTTAAAGTCTCTAGCTCTTATAGGTTCTGAGATCCTTGCGTTCATACATACGGACAGACGGACGGACGTTCAGACGGACAGATAGACAGTCGGACATGGCTAGATCGACTCGGCTATTGATGCTGATCAAGAATATATATACTTTATGGGGCCGGAGATGCTTCCTTCTGCCTGTTACATACATTTGGATTTTGCACAAATACGATATACCCTTATACCCATTTTTAATGGGTTCAGGGTATAAAAATGTTATGTTGGTCAAGATATATTCACCAATCTCAGGGGCTTTACAACTTTTCTCAGATATCTGCTAAGAATATCAGAGTGTTGAAGATATATGTTGCATCTTGTTTGCTTTTCGTTTGCAGATATGTGGGGCTACTCTAGCTATTTTGGGAGCTTTAATGGTTCTGGATATCAAAGATGTTTCTTACACAAAGGAGTTGTTAACTGTGAACAGTGTGTCGATTGTAACGCTAGTTTTGGGCACCCTGGTATTTATCATTTCGCTGTTAGGTTGCTGCGGTGCCCTGTGCGGTCAACCCTGTCAGCTTCGAGCGGTAAGTGGTAATTCCTTTGATCTGCTTAACACAATTTAATTCCGAATTCTTATGTTAATAGTACTCGCTAGTTATGTTGATTTTATTTGTTTGCCAAATAACCTTTGTCATCTATGTCTGGACGGAATTTTACGCAATACGCACCCATGTGGTTAGTTTTGTAAAAATTGTGTGGAAACAACGCGAGACAGATGGCATACTTCTGCATAGATTGGAAAGACAGGTAAGAGTTTACCTATGCGTCTCCCTGTAAGAGAATCAATTAAAGGCCCGAACTTCTTTATAGTTAAAATGTTGCGGCATGAATGGTTTCATGGACTACATAAAAAATGGTGAACATCTTCCTGCATCCTGCTGTGGCTTACCAAACAGCCAAACTTGCCCGGAAGCCATATTTAGAGGGGGTTGTTTAGATGCTTTTGCCCATTTGTGGGATTCGAGTGCGAAAGTTGTCAAAATCGGAGTACTAATTGTATCTGGAGTGATTGTAAGTTTTTAGATTGTTTTTTGCATAACCTGTCTAATTCGAAATTCTTACAGTTTACGGCTAGCATGTTTGCCAGCTATTTGGCCCACAAAATACGCAGAGGCAACGAATTCGAATACTATTAATAAAAGTTGATACAGAGATACTTTTTAACTAATATATTTTATAATCGACATTGTATCAATTTTAATTATTTTACAACCTTTTCGTTTGACCACAAAATATAAGTGTCAAGTTTAACAACATGGATAAGCATTTTTAACCCTATTTAAGGATTATGTGTGGAAATGTGACTACGGCACGTCTTTGAAATAAATGTCAACTATAAGGAGAACTATGAGTATATATTTTGTTGTCATGTTTTTTCTGGGCATCACTAATTTCATCTTAGACAGAATTCACAAGTACCTTTTCGAATGCTTTAGGACATTTTTTCTATGCCTAAATCCTAAAGAATATTCCAACTTCAATTATGTTGCAGCTTTCTTTGTTGCGCTTATCGTCACAGTCGTAAGCATTGTTATCAGCGTGACACTCGTCTTTACTAAGGCGCATTTAGTGATAACTCAAGGGATGCTTTTGTTTTTGTCGTTTAAGTTCGTTAATTTTGAGTTCTTAGAATTGATGCTCCTTGTCCACGTTGTTCGAGTTGAAACTTTTGGCTGTCGCCTGTCGCCGTTGTCTACTGCCCTTTGTCTTGGCCACTCGCTTATCGGGCTTGGCTTTGTTGTGCTTAACAATTTTTAGTGTTCTTTTTCCCTGGGGTCAGCATGCCCCGAACAGTTTTTGCCGCTGCATTGGCAATAATAACAAGGGTAGAGATGGCTGGTTGTTGTTGTATAAAATGCTTTTATTTGCAGTTATTTTGTATACTGTATATCGTATATATATTAGATATATAAAAGTGACACACTCATTGTAAAATCTTGTTAGACACAGATACATATATAATATTTCATTTGAATTATGCGTTTTGTTTGCCTGTTGATACTTTAATTTTTTCCTTTAATTTGATTAAGTGCTAAGAAAATCGATCAACTTACATTGGGTACAATACTATTACTCGAATTATGTTATTTATTTAATATACGTTTTTTTTTCATAAGTGGCTCTAATTACTCCACCTAAAAGTAATTTATTATAATAATAATAATTGTTAGCTTTTAATAGTGGCAGTGTTTCAATTTAGTGTTTCTTAATTGTTTTTTACTGATGAGCTGAAGAGAAATGGCTAAAATAGATATATATTTACATGCTACAAACACCGACGCATATACGCACACACACACACACACACACACACACACACACACATACGCACATACACACGCGTAAAAGAATAGATACATAGATATTTGCGCTTAAATTATTTGCAAATGATTAAACAAAATTGAGCTTAAAATATGGTCAAAATTGTGTTTGTTATACGTGTGTGTGTGTGTGTGTGTGTGTGTGTGTGTGTGTGTGTGTCTGTTTGTGTGTTGTATCTTTGCGGGTTGCGCTTACATAAATATTATTGAAATTGCTGGACGTTGTTGGCATAAGTAAGTAAGTTGTTTATTTTTATTACAGCTAGTTTCATAATGGTTAACATACACACAAATATGCACATAAACATATAGATATATATGAGTAATATAATTTTATTTAAATTACATTTATGGGCTACTTAATAAATTTATTTGGCTTTATTTTCTGCTTCTGTTTCTGTTAAATTTTCCATTGAAGTAAAATTAAATTTTACATAATTTTCATGCTACTTTTGCGGCATTATTTGTATGCGTATCAAATTGGTTCTTAGTAGTTAATAAAAAAGCATATTTAATTTACTTGCAGGCCACACACACACACACACACGCAGTCGCACACACACATGCGGAAGCAACACACGCATAACAATAAAATTTTATATTTATCGCTAACGATTTCCTTGGCCAGGAAGCGCAAGTGTTTTTTTCTGCCTTCTCGCGTGTGTGTGTGTTTGCGTATAGCTGTGGCTAAGCCTCAACATACATACGTACTACATACATATATGTATATATGTCTCGTAAGCATAAATATCTTTGTGCTGCCTGCTTTAGGGGCATCTTCCATTTTGCTGTCTGTGCCGCACGCATATTTTAATAAATTTTATGCCGCTGAAATGCGCGCCGCTTATCATTAACGCACAATTTATTTTT